CTCTCTCTGAACTCAATAAAGATATATTTTAGAAAATTGACTGGTGGGCCCTGGCCAAGCAGATCATTTGGTTGGAGTATCATCCTGTGCACAATAAAAGGTTGTGGGTTTGGTTCCCGGTCAGGGCACATAACTAAGTTTTAGGTTTGATCCCCGTTCGGGGAGCTTATGGGAGGCAATGATCCATGTTTCTCTCTCACATTGATGTTTCTGTTTCTCTCATTCTGTCTCCTCCCTCCTCTCTCTCTAAAATCAATTAAAAAAACATATCCTCCGGTGAGGATTGAAAAAAAAAAGTTTTTAAAAAAATCAACTCTGGTGGGATTTGACCCCTTGTACCTTTTTGAAAGCCAGAGAGCATACAGATACTTGGTGGTGAAAGTACATGTTTCCATAGGACAGAAAGCTCCACCCCTTTTTAGGCTTCAAGTCTTGCTGTTTCAGGTAGGTATCTGTAAGTGTGCTCATAGTGTGTGAATACATTTGCCTTCATAGAGCATGACAAATGGAGATCATCATCAAGTGTATGCCATCAGGGGAATCGCTCTGGCTTTAATGAAAAGCTGATGTTTTGATGTATAGTTAGGTTTCTTGAGGGAGCCAATGAGAAAGTAGCCAGAAATAACCTGTGTCTAGAGAACTGAAAAAAATGAAAAACAGCAATTACTTGAGAGGTTTAGAAAAGCTGTTTCTTTTTATGGCATGCCGTCTGGAAAAAGAATAGCTTGTGCATGGCTTTCTCAGAAGTGGCAAAACATTTTCCTCTTTGGGAAGGGTACAAAAGAAGACAAAGAGGCAGAGTCTATATGACACAAATGAAGTGGAACTTGGGTAAAAATTGCATCCATGTAGGAGACTACCAGTTTAGCTAACTTGGGCCTTTTAAAATCTCAGTTATGCAAATAAACCTAATCTTCTCCTCACTTTGTGTGGTTTAGTCATATGTACAATTTTGTGAGACCGCTAATGATGTAGTCATCTGGAGGGGAAGGGAGTGTGTTTCGTAGCTCAAATGGCTTCTCTAACCCTCACACAGAGAAAGCACAGAGAACCTAGAGGTAACCTCCTGCAGCAGGAAATGGGAGCTTCATCCTGCTACCCTTGCCAACCTCCTGTCCCTGTTTCCTCCCAGCAGATATCTCCATTCCAATCTCCCTGCCACTTTGGCTCTCTCTCACCGTCATGGTTCAACTGTTCTGAGAAAACTGCATTAACTAGGCTTAGACAGAGGGAGCCTGGCCCAGTCATTAACAGGACTGCACAAGAAAAGAGCAAAATTTTCAAAGCCAAACAAACAATAAAGATACATTTTTAGTTTTATATAAGATTTTATGTATACATATGTGTGCATGTGTGTAGACGTACTTACATATACACATATTCTTTTTGTTTAATCAACCAAAGTATAAACAAGATAATTACTTGGCTAAATCAGTAAAACCTAGAGTGGCCCAGAATATCTAGTTCTAAATGGTTCATTAGTACTAGGCATGAGAAGTAAGGGTGAGGAAATAGACTGCATAATTGCATCAGTTCTCCCTTTCCCTGTGCATATGTTCATTATTGAGAATCAATTCCAGTGTCAGAGGAGATTTTAATTCCTTGTAAATGAGTAGGAAGTTAGTAAGTAAATGCTCAGTGTTTTCCTCAAATTATCTCTCATAATACAAGAAAACAGTGGCAAAAAGCCATCAACAGATGGTGTTTTTATTAACCAAAGATTTATTTTTCAAAGCATTTTCATATTAATGAAGTCAGGTTGAAATTAGAGTCATCTTGTCAGTTGTAGTTGTCTGTTGTAAAAATGTGCTGGCCTTCTGCAAATTGCTAGGGGGACCAAACAAAATATCCATTTGCCATAATTTTGTGATGGTAGCCCAAGGTCCATAATCAGACCCCAAATTATGTGCTCAGACCTAATTTTTGTTTTCAGTGGCTTTACGGAAGCTATGAGTCTCAGCTCTGGGCCATAAATGAGGAACACACGACAGGGATCTTAGTCCTGTTCTGCACTATGAATAATTTATAAGATGTCAGTTTCATGACAAGTGTTGCAACAGGTTGCATGTACTTGTTAGAAAACATTCTCCTCATGGCATCCTATGTTTGAATCGAACCATATTGTAGTTTGAAACACAGATTTCTAATATTATATCCATTCTGAGTTTATCACTCTACATTAAGTTTACCTAATATGCTGATGTAGCCATTTGTGATACATTGGGTTTCCATTGATCTAGGATCGGATTACTCTGCTAGGGGTAATCACAAACTGATTGGATCCATTACCAATGCCCACTCTCTAACTTAAGCTGGACCTTTTCATCAAATTACAACTCTGTCATATTCATTTTACTGTCAAACATTTTAAGAGGAGCCCAGTTTTGGAGCCTCTACTTTATCACTACCTCCATATTTAACCCTGTAGAGTTTGGCATCTGCTTCCAAAAGTCTACTGAAACTCATTTTTTCAAAGATCACCAGTGACCTTTCTTGCACTCTCTGCATATATGACAATGACAAATCCTTGATTGAAACATGTTTCTCTCAATTATCATATTAGGTTGGCCCAGACCTGCATTCCCAACTGCCTTGAAAACTGCAACTTCCTCCTAACCAGTGTCCCTGTCCCCAGGCTTCCCTGTTTCAGTCTGCCCCACATATTGCTGGTAGCTTGATCTCATAACTGCAGCCCTGATTATATCATTATCTTACTCAGAAGCCTTTGGTAAGTCCCCACTGCTTAAAAAAAGAGGTAAAAACTCCTCACCTAGGCATTTAAGACCTTCATAACAGAGCCTTGATCTCCATTCCAGCCTTGCCCCCCACTACTCTCTTGTACCTTCTGTTCTAGCCAAACTCCAAGTCTCTTCTCTGAACGTGTCCTGTACTTTATTCCCTTTTACTTCTGTCATGTTACTCCTAGTGCCTGGAACACTCTGCCCCACTCCATCTCTGTCTATTAAAATCCTACTTATCCTTCAAGACCATCTTAATCTCACTTCTTTATCTCCAAAGTCACTGCCCCTTGAACAGAGTAGGTGTTCGATACCTTTTGTATTAAATCTCTGAACTGTCACTTCTTTTTTTCCTCTGACATCTACTTAGCTTAGAGATCATGCCTAAATCAATGATTGCTACGCTTCTTTTTTCCTTCTTCACTGTCTGTCCATGCTAAGAAGGCCACATTTGAGATGGTCATGAAGTTTAAAAAGGCCAGGGGAGAAACTGTGCCCAAATCATAACAAATGGAATAAATTTTGAGAAGTCACTTCCATGGGAACAAAGCCAAAGAAACCAAGAGAGATCTGGCAAAAAGGGAAGCAAAAATTAAGCTGGTTCTCATAATCCAGTTTGAGAACAAGGGAAATCAAACTGCCTGTCCTAGAAATACACATATACAGAGGAATGCATCTTTTGGGATAGATTCATTGGACAGTGCCAAGGATTCTAAAAAGCAACAGCTCCTTAGTAGACAGGGGGCCAAGTACATGAGTCCTCTCCCCTTTCCCCACTCCCCCTTGCTCACCCCCCAAACCCCTGCCAAAAACATGAACTTTGAGCTACAAACCATAAAAACTATAGAGACAGCAATGAACCAATGAACACAACCAAGGGAGAAAATGATAGCAGAACAAGGGCCAGAAAGTTGGGCTATTGCATTTGGAACAGACTTTGTGGGTGAGAGAGGAGTGGATATCCTGAGGTAGAAGCAGCCACCAGAGCTGAAGATTTGGGAATGGGAAGGAATAAAAAGCTCATTATCAATCTAGAGTGAATAACATTCTATTTTTTTATATAAGGAATGGAAGAGAGTAGCTTGCTCAACTGAAACTATGCTGAGTTCTGAGTACTTTTGAACTATGTTATATTAAACAGATTTGCAAAGTGCTTCTAATGTGTACCTAAAAGGATCTATATAGAAATAAGCAGTGATAAGCAATGGATGACCTATCTCCATGGGCTCTTCCTTAGTGCTGAAGAAGGGAAATTGAGATATGTTGCTAGATTTTGATGACTCCCACACTTAAAATACCATCTTTTTTTCCTGAAGGAATCTACTGATAAATATAAATGTTATCAACAACAACAACAAAAAAAACCCACAAAAAATAATGGAATTCTGGAGCAAAGCTTTGACTGAAGTCTACAGACTGAGTTCCAGCCTTAGCTTTGTCATATACTAATTATATGACTGTGCAAAAACACTTTACCCCCACTCTGAAGCTCAGTTTTCTCATCTGTAAAATGTTGACATCTCCTACTTCATGGGTTGTTATGATTATTCAATGATATATATGAAAATGTCTAGCATAGTGTGTGGCAAGTAGTAATCATTCAATAAATTATAGTTTTCTTATTCTACTCATCTGTAAAAGAGATAATAATACATGCTCTCCCTATGTCACAGGTATACTATGAGGGTAAAATGAAATGTTGACTATGAAATACTTTTAAAAGTTAAAAATATTACAGAAAACAAAGTGGTTTTTCATTTCTTTCTTTTTTTAAAAAAATATGTCTTTATTGATTTCAGAGAGAGGAAGGGAGAGGGAGAGAGAGAGAGAGAAACATTGATGATGAGAGAGTCATTGATCAGCTGTCTCCTGCACGCCCCCCACTGGGGATCGCGCCAACAACCCGGGCATGTGCCCTGACCAGGAATTGAACCCTGATCTCCTGTATCCTAGGTCGATACTCAACCGCTGAGCCGTGCTAGCCAGGCCAAAGTTGTTTTAATGTCAGTAAATTCCTACATCCACAAAGTCATGAATGTCAACTTTCCCCAACAATGATAATGTACCAAATGTACAACATTATTAAGTAGCACCTAGAAGAGCGCTTAGCCCAGAGCAAATGCTCAGTGAATCTTTGAAATAGTGTATTTGCCAACTGACTGACTGATCTCCTCATGATATTGGTTCTCAAGCTCATTAAATGTTTGTTCTTTTTTTCCCCTCTTACCCTTTTCCCTCTTGCTACACACTCTGCGATGACAGCAAACTCTAGAGATGAACCTCACCAACCTAGTTAAGCGTAACAGCGAATTAGAAAATCAAATGGCCAAGCTAATACAAATCTGCCAGCAAGTTGAGGTATGTAACAGAAATATTTGTGATTCCTTCAGAGGACCTGTATTGATTCTCTTGGTGGGGTCTTGAATTATTCATTCATTCATTCATTCATTCATTCATTCATTCCTTCATTTGCTTAATCCCTTCACCTTTTTCACCCAGCCCTGCAACCCCCTCTCCCTTCTGACAGCTGTCAGTATCTTCTCTGTACCAATGAATCTATTTCTATTTTGTTTATTAGTTTATTTTGTTCATTGGATTCCATGTATATGTAAAATCATATGGCATTTGTCTTTCTCTGATTGGCTTATTTCACTTAGCATAATACTCTTCAGGTCCATCCACGCTGTTGCATAAGGTAAGATTTCTTTATTTTTTTATTTTTTATTTTTTATGACTGAGTAGTATTCTATGGTGTAAATGTACCACAGCTTTTTTTATCCCTTCATCTACTGATGGGCACTTGGGCTGCTTCCAAATCTTGGCTACTGTAAATAACGCTGCAATGAACATAAGAGTGCAAGTATTCTTTCGGATCAGTGTTTCAAGTTTCTTCGGATATATTTCCAGAAGTGTAGTTGCTGAGGGGCTTGAGTTTTGTCAGAATGTACCTCATCATGGTTTTAATTTGCATTTCTCTGATAATTAGTGACATTGAGCATCTTTTCATGATTATTTGCCATCTGTATGTACTCTTTGGAGAAGTGTCTATTCAGGTCCTTTGCCTATTTTTAATTAGATTGTTTTTTTGGTGTTGAGTTTAAAGACCTCTTTATAATTTTTGGATATTAACCTCTTATCAGATATATCAGTGAATATGTTCTCCCATTCAGTGGGTTGACTTTTCATTTTGCAGATGGTTTCATGTGCTGTGCAAAAATTTTTAGTTTGATGTAGACCCATTTGTTTATGTTTTTGTTTTTCCCCCTTGCCTGAGGCGATATATCAGAAAAAAAATATTGCTATGAGAAATGTATGAGATTTTACTGCCTATGTTTTCTCCTAAGATTTTTATGGTTTTGAGTCTAACATTTAAGTCTTCAATTAATTTTGAGTTTATTCTTGTGTATGATGTAAGAAGGTTCTCTAGTTTCATTTTTTTGCAAGTATCTGTCCAATTTTCCCAACACCACTTATTGACTAGGTTATCTTTACCCCACTGTATGTTTTTGCCTCCTTTGTCAAATATTAATTGACCATAGAGGCATAGGTTTATTTCTGGGCTCTCTATTCTGTTACATTGATCTATATGTCTGTTTTTATGCCAATACCATGCTGTTTTGATAACTATGGCCTTGTATTATAGTTTGATATCAGGTAGCGTGATTCCTCCCACTTTGTTCTTCTTTCTCAAGATTGCTGTGGCTATTTGGGGTCTTTTGTGTTTCCATATAAATTTTTGGAATATTTGTTCTAGTTCTGTGAAATATGCCATTGGTATCTTGACAGGAATTGCACTGAATCTACAGATTGCTTTGGGTAGTACGGACATTTTAATGAAGTTAATTCTTATTCATGAACACGTTACATGTTTCTACTTATTTGTATTTTCTTCAGTTTCTTTCTTAAGTGTCTTACAATTTTAGTAGTATAGATCTTTTACATCTTTGGTTAAATTTATTCCTAGGTTTTGTTTTTTCTTTGATGCAATTGTAAATGGTTTTCTTAGTTTCCCTTTCTGAAAGTTCATTATTGGTGTATAAAAATTTTGGGATATTTATTTTGTATCCTGCTACTTTACTGAATTCGTTTATCAGTTCTAGAAGTTTTTTGGTGGAATCTTTAGGGTTCTCTGTATATAGTATCATGTCATCTGCAAATAATGACAGTTTTCCTTTTTCCATTCCAATTTGGATGCCTTTTATTTCTTCTTCTTGTCTGATTGCTGTGGCCATGACTTCCAGTACTATGTTGAGTAAGAGTGGTGAAAGCAGATATCCTTTTCTTATTCCCAATTTTAAGGGAAACGCTTGTAGTATTGGCCATTGAGTATGATGTTGGCTGTGAGTTTGTCATATATGGCCTTTATTACATTGAAGTATGATCACTCTATTCCCACTTTGCTGACAGTTTTTTTTTTTAACCGAGAAATCTTTATTAAAGACATTTCTGCAAAAAGAAGACAAGTAGCTGTATAAAGATAAGCATAGACTCTAAAGAGAGGGATTTTTCAGAAGATCAAATTTTTCTCTACAGTCTTGCAATTAGTAATCTCATAATCAAAAGATTTAACACAGGTTGTAGCACAAAGTGTTATAGAAAATTCTGTGTGATGTAATAAGATGCTGGGTTTTATCAAATGCTTTTTCTGCATCCATTGATATGATCATGTGGTTTTTATTCTTTATTTTGTTTATGTGTTTTATCACTTTTGATTTGCCGATCTTGTTCCAACCTTACATCCCTGGAATAAATCCCACTTGATCATGGCATATGGTCTTTTGGTTGTATTGCTGGATCCTGTATTTTGTTGACAATTTTAGCATCTATGTTCATCAGGGATATTGTCTTATAATTTTCTGTCTTTGTAGTGTCTTTATCTGGTTTTGGAATTATGATAATGCTGGCCTCATAAAATGAGCTTGGGAGTCTTCCCTCCTCTTGAATTTTTTGGAATAAGTGTCTGGATAAGTGTTAGCTCTTTGAATGGTAAGATTCACCTGTGAATCCACCCAGTCCAGGACTTGTGTTTGTTGGGAGTTTTTTGGTTACTGCTTCAATTTCAGTAGGTGTAACCTCTCCAGATTCTCTGATTCTTCCTTATTCAGTTTGGAAGATTGTATGTTTCTAGGAACTTATCCATTCCATACAGATTGTCCAATTTTTTTTGGCACATAGTTGTTCATAATATATTCTTATAATCCTTTGTGTTTCTGTTGTGTCAATTGTTACTTCTCTTTCATTTCCAATTTTATTTGGTTCCTCTTCTTTTTTCTTGATTAGTCTGAACAAAGATTTGTCAATCTTGTTTATCTTTTCAAAACCAGGTCTTGGTTTCAATGATCTTTTGTATTGCTTTTTTAGACTGCATATCATTTATTTCTGCTCTGATCTTTATTATTTTCTTCCCCTTACTCACTTTGGGCTTTGTTTGTTCTTTTTTAAGTTCCTTCAAGTGTAAAGTTAGATTGTTTATTTGAGATTTTTCTTGTTTCTTGAAGTTGGCCTGTAATGCTATGAATTCCTCTCTAAGGACTGCTTTCACCTTGTTCCATAGCTTTTGGGTTGTCGTGTTCTCATTTTTATTTGTTTCAAGGTATCATTTGATTTCTTTCTTGATCTCATTTTTATCCAATTTATTTTTTAGTAACTTGTTATTTAGACTTTATGTCTTTGTGTGTTTTTCAGTTTTTTTCTTATGATTGATTTTTAGTTTCATACCATTAAGGTCAGAGAAGATGCTTTATATGATTTCAATCTTCTTAAATTTATTGAGACTTATTTCATGTCCTAACATGTGGTATATCCTAGAAAATGTTCCATGCACACTTGAAGAGAATGTTTATTCTGTTTCTTTAGAGTGAAATGCTCTGAAGATATCAATTAAATCCATCTGATATAGTGTGTCATTTATGTCCGCTGTTTCCTTGTTGATTTTTTTGTCTGGAAGATCTATCCATTGATGTCAATAGGGTGTTAAAGTCCCCTACTATGACTGCATTATTGTTAATATCTCCCTTTATGTTCATCAACATTTGCTTTACATTTTTAGGTGTTTCTATGTTGGGTGCATATATGTTTACAAGGGTTATATTCTCTTGTTGGATTGCTCCCTTCCTCAATATGTAGTGTCTTTGTCTCTTACTATAACCTTTGTTTTAAAGTCTATTTTGTCAAATATAAGTATTGCTACCCCAGCTTTTTCCCCCTTTCCATTTACATAAAGTATCTTTTTCCATCCCTTCACTTTTAGTCTGTATGTATCTTTTGTTCTGAAATGGGTCTCTTGTAGACAGCATATATATGGGTCTTGATTTCTTATCCATTCAGCTACCCTATGTCTTTTTTTAAAACTATATCTTTATTGATTTCAGAGAGAGGAAGGGAGAGGGGTGAGAAAGAGAAACATCAATGATGAGAGAGTTGTCATGATTGGCTGCCTCCTGCATGCCCCTGACTGTGGATTCAGCCTGCAACCCAGGCATGTGCCCTGACTGGGAATTGAACCGCTATCTCCTGGATCTTAGGTCAATGCTCAACTCCTGAGCCATACCCTGCTGGGCTACCTTATGTCTTTTTATTGGAGCATGTAAGCCATTTACATTTAAAGTGATTATTGATAGGTATGTATTTATTGCCATTTTATTCTTTTAACTATGTCCCTCTGTTCTTCTTTCTCCTTCCCCTCCTACTCCTCCTCCTCTTTTTCTTCTTTTTCTTCAGTAAGGCCCCTTAATGTTTTTTGTAATGCTGGTTTCATGGTATCAAACTCATTTAACTTTTTCTTGTCTGTGAAGCTGTTTATTTCTCCTTCAATTTTAAATGATAGCCTTACTGGGTAAAGTAGTCTTGGTTGTAGGACCCTGTTTTCATCACTTTGAATATTTCATGCCAGTCCCTTTTGGCATGAAATGTTTCCATTGAGAAATCCACTGACAGTTTTATGGGAACTCCCTTGTAGGTAACTGTCTTTTTGTTTCTGCTATTAAGATTCTCTCTTTGTCCTAACCTTTGCCATATTAATTATGATGTGTCTTGGTGTGTGCCTCTTTAGATTCATTTTGCTTGTGACTCTCTGTGCTTTCTGGACTCGTGTGTCTTTTTCCTTCACCAGATTAGGGAAGTTTTAGTCATTAATTCTTCAAATAGATCTTCAATCCCTTACTCTCCTTTTTCTGGTATCCCTATGATGTGGATGTTGTCATGCCTCATGTTGTCCCAAAGGTTCCTTAAGCTATCCTCATTTTTTTAAATTCTTTTTCATTTGCTGCTATGATTAAGTGGTTTTTTTTTCTAACTTATCTTCCAAATCAATGATATGATTATCTGCTTCCTCCAACCTAGTGTTTATTCCTACCTGT